AAAATTTCTTAGCCAAAAAGTGATATGTGGAGCTTACAAGTCACTGTGAAGACAATAGTAAAAATAAAGTGAGAGAGGTGAAAGCGAAGGTATCTTGACAACACTTAAGGATTGAAGGCAGAGACCCCCTTCTACTCCAAAATTTTCCAAAATTTGTAATTGGCTTCAATTTGAATGATTCTTAGCTTGTTGCAAGGCTGACTTGAAGACGCTTTTGATCCAACAATTTTCATTGCAGTCTAATGAACTAATCGTGAGAATTCCTCCTTTGAAGTTGAGTGATCCAAACTACTGCGGTGACCAACCCTCTTCACTTAGAAATTCACTAAAAATTCAAATTGTCCTAAAATTCACCAAAACTTATGCCTTTCAAAGCGCAGCTTATAAATCTTGATGCTGTCAAAATTTCAAATAAATCCAATCACCAGGCACTGAGAAATGCCTTTCCAAACTCAATTGATTCAAACTGCAAAGGCAATCGACTCCCTCAAACTCAAAAATTCACCAAAAATTCTTTCTTACTCCAAATCAAGCAAGTCTTATCTTGTTGAAAAGCTCACAACAAAATCTACAACTACTTAAAATCTAAAATTGAAAAAATAGAAATTGAGTAACTGATTGAAGAAAATCCGAGGCCTTGGACACCCTTAGGATATTTGAAAGGCCGAGGGGATATCTACCTCAATGAAACATATTTTAAAACTTAATAACCATCCTCCACAATGCAAAATCCATAAATACACAATCACAATGCAAAATCCATAAATACACAATCACAAGATTCACAATTAGAATTGAAATCTAAATAAAATTAAGATTAGGGTTTTTGCCAAACTTTGGCATGGCTCCCTCCTTCATTCAAAAGAGGAGAGAGACAGAGGGCTTGGAAAACCAAGCCTCTCTTATACAATTGAGTGGAGGCTCGTAGTAGGGTGGCTACCTCTCTACCCTTGATTTTTAAGATCCCTAATCTAGATCTACGGCCTTCATTCATCCAAGAGCCAATCTCATTATCAAGGCTGATGGCTCTTGTAAGTGGTCAAGAAAGCAATTTTTTTGTAAATCTAACTTCACTATTGTGTTCAAAACACCTTTTTAAGCTAAGATCGACTACTCACATGCCTCAATCCATGCTCAATTATAATTTTCTTGGAAGTTTTTACTTACAAGGATCTTGGCAATTTTTGTGAAATTCTTCAAAATGAGAATTTCATTGCTTCTCTTGTAATTTGAAGGAGAGGTTGTTGATCTTATTTTCTTCACTCCATTAGGTAAATCTGGTGCCACCATTGCATTAAAAAGACTCCCATTAAGCAGAAGAACCACCATGCCGCTTGAATTTGTCGAATTTTGGAGGAAAATCCAAAATTATCATTGCTAATTTCTCTAAATCTTTTAGAGAATTATAATTCCAACTCCTAAATCATGTGAATGATTATAGGTGCACTCATAGGCTTTTAGTCAACCCTTATAGTAATGACTAACAACCTCTAAATTATTAAACTAACTAAGTTGCTATTCTAATTTTCTAACTCTTATCACTTTAGTCCTAATTAACATAATTTAAGGAATTAGGCTATAATTTATACCATCACGGGTTGTAATCCTAAAAATTCTATAAAACTAAATTCCACTTATATAAATCATAATCTAACATGTTTAATTATCATAAAATAGAAAAATAACAAAAAATTAAATTTTAGAATATAATTAAGAGCTCACAGAAGGTCAATTATTATATTATGTTGTTATAAAATATTACTCTACATGAAAGACCTTGCAATAAATTATACTTGATCATGGAACAATTGGCTCATTGAGTTATAAAAGCAAAACTATTATCTAAAGATTACAAGAGACAATTGCCTTTATTTCTACAAATTACATTATATTGATCATTTGTAAAGATTCCATTCAAGTTGCAGCAAAGATAATTTTTAATATAAGTAAGATTTGAAATGACCATCATCATATATCAAAAAAATTGTTGAATTGTATAGGGATAGATCTTAAAACCATTGTATTTGTATATAGACAATTCTATGTTTTCCTTTAGCAATGCACTTCTTTGAATATAATCAAGACCATATATCTTAAAAGTTATAAAGATAAAAACTCTATTGTAAATTTAATTCATCTTAAAGTTCTTTTAACTTAATTATTTAAATAATTAAAATTAAAAATAAATAATTTTTTAAAATTACACTAAAAATATATATAATTCTATCATTATGCATGGATTTTTTTTCTTTTTTTCTTTTTTTGATTAAGATTTCTTTAATATTAGTTAATTTTTAATTAAGCAATGAAAAATTAGACTTTTATAAAAAAAATTATGGCCAATGGCATGGATTTCTATTAGTATGATATATTTATATATCTATATATAGATATATAAATATATGTTAGTTATTTAATATCCTTTGATAAATACTTTTTAATTACTTAATAATATTTGACAATACTAAGATTATTTTTAGATCATTAGTAAATTATAAAATATTACATTATTTATAAGATTATGATTTAAATATGGTATATCTATATGTATACACAAGTAGATTTTCATTTCATATAAAGACTTAAAATTATTATTTTTATTATAATTATTGATTATATAATTATTATAATTATATAATCAATAAGTGTATATGTAATTATCTATCTATATATATATATATATATATAGATGTATGTATGTATGTGTGTATTTTATTTCATTCAAAGTTTTTACCATGAATATAATTAAAATTATAATTTTTTAATATATTTTAAAGAATAAGTCTTAATTTTTTTCTTTTAATTTAATATATATGTATATATATATATATATATATATATATATCAGATAATTAATACATTCCAAGGTCTTGAGACTTTTGTAGTAAAATATCTAAATTATTAATATTATATTTTTAGTATATTTGAAGATGAATTTATTTATAGATTTTTTATTTTTTATTTTATTTTAATTTTTTAATTAAATTTCTATTTTTAATTTTTAATTTTTTTTAACTACATCATAAATCAGAATTTATTGAATGAAGATCAGAAATGATTACAGCATAATTTATATTTTTAAGAAATTATGTCAAGATTGTTTTAGCATTGTCTTTAATAGATATAAATTTTTATAGATTCGATACCAGATTTAAGTTCATCTTTGCAGCTTTTTATTCATAATTAATTCTTAAAAAACATTGAGTGATATTATACTCGTATTTGATCTAAAGAATATTTTATACTTAGATAAAAATATCAAAGGCCTTAATCTTAAAATCTCTTTATTGGTCGGAATACAAAAATATCTTTAAATTGGCTTTATACTTAGAAAAATAAGTTTAAATGAAGATATGAAGTTGAATGCAGTTTTTTTCTACATGGTATTAAAATTATTTGTCTTTGAAGTTTTTCTAAGATCCATTTCCAAGAGGAGGTTATTAAAAAAATTCAAAATTTTTGTGTCAAAAGATGCTCAAACTTACCAATAAAATAAGAAATTAAATCTTTTGCACTCCTCATAATTGTTTGAATCAAGATATGGCTTGATATTTTTCAACTTGCACCAAACAATTAATACTTAGAAATATAGAGTTAATCAAAAAATATTTAAAAATAAAAAATTTAATTAAATATAATCATTTTTGTGATTAATTTTAATTACTTTAGAATGAAATGTGTTTTTTTAATTAAATATAATTACTTTAAAATTAAATATACTTATTTTGTAGTAAAATTTAATTTTATAACTATTTATAAATAATTTGATTGTTTTAATTGGTCAAATGAATAAAAAAAGCATTTATTATTTTGTCTATAGATGTTAAATAAGACTATCTATTGACTATTAATTAATTTATTGGTTTTTTTCTTTATTTCTTAAATTATATATAATTACAACAATAAAAATTATTTATTAAATAAAATTTACTATTTATTTTTTAGCCATAAAATGTCACAATGTTTTTTTTCTTTTCTTATTATTTTTAATTAGATAGTTTTACATGTATCATCAACTGAAATAAATCTCTTAAAAGATCAATATATTCTCAGTAAAAAAGAAAAAAAATTAACACCAATTTGGTTGAAAATATAGGTTTTTATTAGATATTATTTTTTCAAAATTAAATTTTATTAAATTTCATAAATTTAACATCCTAGGATTAATACTACCAATATAAATAAACAAGTGTAAGGACTGGGACAAGGATTTGGGATAGTGGTTATTTTCATCCTTGTGTTAGTACATTTTAATAAAAATTGTTTTTACATCCTCTTAATTAAATTATTTTGTATTTATTTGATTTCATAAATCAACTTCATAAATAGGTTACGGATTAAATTTTTAAATAATTATTTTATCAAATATCAATGAAAATTGTTATGATGAGCTTAACCGTTAAATCATTGTCCCTGTACCGTGTATTTTTAAACTGTTTAAATATATATATATATATATATATATGTACATATATAGACAGTATAGATTTGAAATAATTTTAGTTTAATCACTTAAGTTATGCAAATTTTGATATCAAAAAAACATTCCAAAATTTATTCAGACAAAGTTTGTTCAACATCAAATATGACCATGCTCGGAGCTAGTTCGATGAATGACGTCTAAATTCCAAAAATAGAACTATCATCCATCCTACGATGACGCACGCGCCACGCTGTTATCCTTCAGAGGGAGTTGCACCGTTTCCCGACCACCTCCACCGCTCAACGGTCAGGAAAATCAGGGGGCACAAGCCTCCTCTCTCGAACCCAACGACCGGCGAACGGATCCACCAACTGTACGTTCCCGATTAAGTTCCCACCGAGTGGCTTCGTTCATGGCAACTTGACATCCAACGTGACGGTTGTCATCGTACGGATGAACAGTGAAACAACATTCACCATTGGATCACTCCATGGAAAGGATCGTAGCCGTAGATGCGGTCCAATGCAACGGAGAGGCCTGGTGCAGCTGATGCCGAGACATTTGCCGAATTTCTTTACAGATTTCATGGTCACGAGGAATTTTTGTTTGTTTCTAATCAGCGCACCGATTGCGAGCGGGTCTGTAGATGCTTCTGTGAGAGAACAGCGACTGACTTCACGTCATTCGGTGGAGCGAGCACTGGGAAGTGGAGCGTGTGGTTCATGTGCGGAGGAGGAGGGGAGTGAGATTGTTGGCGTGGAGGAGAGGAGAGAGGGGAGTTTGGAGAGTTGCGAGAGAGAGCCTAGAGTCATGGCGACACTCGATGTGGCCCGATCAGAGATCGCCTTCCTGGTGATGTATCTTAATAAGGCTGAGGCACGGGACAAAATTTGTCGCGCGATCCAGTATGGCTCCAAGTTCATTAGCGCGGGCGAGCCTGGGGTTGCGCAGCAGGTCGACAAGACTACTAGCTTGGCGCGTAAGGTTTTCCGTCTAGCTAAGGTGCGTTCATGAGTCTTTGCGAAATAGACCAGGATCCATGGCGGAATTCCGGTTTTGTGCGCCGTGATGACGGTTTTTTGATAATTTCTGCAGTTTCTTATTTTATTTATTATTTTGTTGTTGTTGTTGTTATAATGGCTGCTTTTTCGGGGCAATATGTTTCTAAGTGCAGCTGCTGAGTATCTTGCTTTTGAGGATCAGGAAATGTACACACTGTAATTGTTTGGAGTTAGTGATGGAATATTGGAAAAGAGATTCTTATGTATTGATGGTGTTAGAAACGACTAGAGATTGCTTTGTCAAGTAATTGAGTGATAGGAAAGGAAAAAACGCATGAATGTCTTCACTGAAGTCTAGGAAACAACGTAGTGATTACTATTAGTAGATGTGTGAGGATGGCGGACAAATGCTTGTATCATGTAAAGTGACACCATAGTTGCGAGTGGTTGCAATTTACAAGTGTAGAAGGTTTGTAAGCAGGGAAGCTTTGATTACTGTGATGCTCTGGGTTTATTTTTTGGGGGGGAACGGATTCGTTTCTTTAGAATGAATATTTTGCGGACAAGAACTCTGGGTCAGCTACACAAGTGTTTTTGGTAACAAAATCAACTGCGGAGGATGCCAGGGTTTAATTATCTTATAGGCATTGATTCAGAGCATGTGCTTTGGTTGCCATCTTCACAGACTTTGAATGAGTTGAATGCGCTTCTTGCTCCACCACCGAAAGCAACACCATTGCCGATTGTACTCCTTGGCAAGGCAAGTTTTCATAATGCAATAATAGTGTTGTGCGTTCAATTCTTGTTGTAGTGGTTAATTTTATGGTTTGAGAAATTTTTAATGATTTCAAAAATCGTGTAGTCGATCTCATCAAGTTTTTTCTGATACGAAGTTTGTTTATAGTATTAGAGGCAGTCACTAGTTTTTTGCGTTAATAATGATTGACTTTTTTTGCATTGAAAATTGGTCAGGCGAAAAATGCGTTGGTCGGAACCTTCTTGTTCCTTGATCAAATTGTGTGGGCTGGAAGAACTGGCATTTACAAGGTATGGTTTGTCCTTGTTTACTTAACACTATTCAGTCTCGTCTTGGACTCGTATGATGGTTTGTAGCATAACTGCTTATCATGTTGTCTGGTAGTGCAGGATACGGAACGCCTGAACCTCATCTCCAGGATTTCTCTCTTTTGTTGGTTGGCAGGCACTTGCTGCACAACCCTTGTTGAGGTCAGTTGCTTATCAGAACGTTCTCCAATTACCTAGGTCGAGAGAATACTTAATTTTTTATTTTTCCACTTCGACGCTGCCAGTGTTGATCGCATGGCTACAAGACCGGCAGGAATTTTTACTCTTATCAGTAACAGAAAGCATCATGTCGACGGACAAAAATATTTATGCGTCGGATAGTTTCATGCTTCTCTTTGGTGCAATTTAGAAAATTTCAAGATTATTTCATCGATTTGAAGTGCTTGCAATCCAATCACATCACAAGATTTCTGGCTTCAGGTTGCAGAAATTACTCGTTTAGGATCCACCACGAAGAAGGTAGAGAATGAGTTGAAAAAGGCACAAGGTTCCCCCAGCATTGAAGAAATGAAACTGGTAAGCTTATCGTTTCCTTAGATTTATTATAAGTGTATAAGCGTATGGTTTCCTAATTTTATAATTAGCCCATATATATTCAAGGATCGTGGCATGAAGACAGCCATGGTGGTTTTTTTTGATTTGCTGAAGTAATCATGTGGGTTTTTAGACAAAGTGTTCAGCTATACCATAATGTCAAGAGCTTTTAATCGGTCGATGTTACTTAGCTGCCATGATTTAGGACAGTAGCCTTGACATGAAGTTGACATGCAAGTTTTGGTTTTTGCTCATTAAAATGGTCTTCTCCATCTTCACCTCTACTTAGAAAGAAGATGTGAAACAAGTTGTTTGGCGTATTTTCCGGGACAGGGTTTAAGATAAATGTAAAAAAATTCAGATTTTGAAGTGCAGCATTTTGTTGGCACTACAGCAAATAAGTTCAAATTGTTTTCCAGAAATGAGATTCGAAATTTTGATTATTCTATTTTTTTAGCATTATTGCTGAGGTCATATTTTTTTGCAGAGGGAACAGCGAAAAGAAAACTTGAAGAAGTCTAGGGTAAGATCATTAAACTTAATCAAGTCAGGCATGGACATTGTGGTTGCTGTGGGGCTGCTTCAGCTGGCTCCCAAGACCATCACACCGCGCGTTACTGGGGGCCTGGGTTTCATCACCTCAGTAATATCATGCTACCAGGTACTTTCGTAAAGCGGGATTATTTGTATGAATTAGTATGTAAAGCAAACTAATCTATTGAAACCTTAGTCAGTTCTCTCCAATAATAAGAGAATCATAAACTGTTTGTGCAATGCAAGTTCATTTAAATTCTTTAGGTGCTTGTGTTCACTAGTTAGTTTCTAAGCTTTACTCGCATTGACATTATGCTCAGTAGTATTGCGCCAGCATTTCATGTTGTCATTTGTGAGATGCATCACCTGGCCATATGTTGATTATTTATTCTTTTTCATCATGGACATGCATTACCAAGTGATTTTCGCTTTTCAAGAGGATATATTTCTCTTTATTTTTGTCACTGTTATAGGTAATGAATATATCAAGTATATTTATTTAGACTGACACATCTGGCATGAATTTTCTTCTCCACAGTTGGTACCACCTCCACCAGTTAAGGCCAAGGAGGTCTGAACATGTTGAAGTTTTTCTACATGCAATTTGTCGTGGGATGATTGATCCATGTAATTTTGGGTAGCCTCTTTGTGCTATTAAGCTTATGTGATAGTTAGCAATAAACCACTAGTTGCTGATGTGACAAAGCTGCAACAGAAGCCCCGTTCGATTGTACCCGATTGAACGATGGTTCTATAAGAGATTTTCTGAGGTGATGTATGTGGATCACTCAATCTGCTACTCATATATTCTTGTCGTCACGAGTGGTGTTTGATTTGGTATCATCTTTTTATATCAAACTCGGGTGGAGGCTTCGTGGTATTTGATTTAATAGTACTACACAAGTCTTGACACTTGATAGGAGGTTTGACTCTTTTTTGGAGAAGCCCACTTAAGCTGAAAGAATTTCTGGGAGGATTCTTTTAGAGAGTTATAAGTTATTGATCTGTAAATAATGCTTTTGAAAATTTATCAACTTTGGGGAAGAAGGAAAAATGTGGTTTTCTTACAATAAATTTGAAACTTGCTCTATCATGTCTGTGCTGAAACTTGCTTTTGAGTGGGCTCTTGAATTGTGAACCAATGGTACCAAAGCACATTATTGTGTGATGTGAGTTGCATAGCCTCAATTCGTTTCATCAGGTTAGAATAATGTAAATTATGTGCTCATGGCAGGACGGTTTACTTGATAGAAACTTGCATCATTGAAAATAAGTCATGATTTGTTAAGTCATTTTGTTATATTAATATTAGCTTGACAACAAATTTTGTAGGTTGTGTAGAACTTATGTGTACAGATTGGACAAAAAAAGCATTGTAATTTCCTTCATGTATGCATTTTAATATATATATATATATATATTTATTTATTATTTCTAATGCCATCAAATTTTTGCTATTGTCACCACAACTTATTTTAATATTTTATTTGAATTAAAAAGAATTTATTTATAATTTCAAATAAATAAAATATATTAGAAATAGTAATAGTTTTTTGATTGGGATAAAAAAAACTAAAAATACATATTAAATGGATTGTGGTTGTAAGTTAACTTCACCAAAGTATTTGATAAACACTTAGTTAGTCTAAAAGCCTACTATGACTTTTATTATCTTGATCTATATCTTCATAATGGCTTTCAAAGTAATAAAATTTATTTTTATCAAATTTTTAAAAATTACTCTAAAATTTCTTTAATTTTTAAAAATAAATTCTAAAAATTAATATATTACTTTTTTAATAATGAAAATAATTTATAATTATATTTTATTATCTTAGTAAATTTTTATAGTAATAATATAAATTTAAATCAACTATAAATCCTATTTTTTATATAAATAATTAAAAAGATACGATAATCTTATTCATTCTTCTTTCAACTATTAATTAATATTTATAATTTTTTTATAAGTAATACATATAAATAGAAGACTAATATAACATTGGTTTTAATAATTAAACATTAATATTTAATAATAAGAAAAAATATTTTATCAACTAGAATAGTTGCTTTAAAGATTAATTAAGATTCTATTATTATATTTATTTTTAATAAGACTCTTGTGATTTTTAAATCCATCTAAATTATAATAAATATATAAATAATCAAAAAAATTATCTAATTCTAATATTTTTATAATTAAATAATTCAAAAATATACTTCTAATAATTCCACCAATTAAAATCTATTAGTAGGACTTATAAGGGTCGTAGTAGCAAAAATTATAATAGCATTACTAAAACTATATATATAACACATGAATTAATACACATATATTGATATTGCTATGATTCATAAATTATTATTATCTCATCCTATAAAACTAATTTAATTATAAAAGTGTAATTATTTCCAATTCTTTTAAGCTTAACTTATCTAAGTTAGGGATTTTTATAAATAATATATTAGAATTACATTATTAGATGCATATTTTGAAAAAAATAAAAAAAAATAAAAAAAAATTATTGATTGTCTTTTTTCTTATATTGCATGATTTAAGTAATAAAAAGCTATTATATATTATAAAGACTTAGACTTAAGATATATATATACATATATATATATATATAATTATCACAAATATTCATATTTACTCTAATAATTACCTATATGATTAAGTAGAAATAGATAAAAGTAGATTAATTTCATAATATCTTCTAGAAAACTTCTTAGAAGCTTTAAAGATGTTGCTTTGATTTTATATGTATTTGTAATTAATTGATAGGTTAGAAACTTGGTCAATAAGTTAGCCACATATCATACATGTTAATAGATTGTGGAACAAGTTAAATGTGTGGCATACATATAAAAAACTTACCTTATAAGTTAAGACATGTGTTTAGCAAAGTCAATACTTTTTGCACATCCTATAGAATATTGACACATAGCTCCTAATTAGAGAGTATATATGGAGACAAGAGTGAAGCCTTCTTCACTCTTGTCAACATCTTTTTAATCCTTAGTCTTATTTCAAGACTTTTTAGTCTTCTTTTCTTTGACTTTCTATTTCAATATATTACCATCTTTGATTGATTTCTTAGTCTTTTTGAGTGACACAAGAGTGTATTGAGGATTTCTTTCTTGAAGATTTATGCCCTTGATAAAAACTCATGAGAATTTTTACATTGAATTATATAATATACAAATGTATCATATCATAATTTAAGTGCTATAACTATTGGTGCTCAAGAAGTGTGTCTCATATAATGTAATGGTATGACTATATGTTGTGCTAATTGACTAGTTTGATAACTCAGCTTGTCTTGTATTGTAACATTCTTTCAATTAAATAAAAAAGATGTGAAAGTTGAAGTACATTTAAACTACTAAAATCAGTAATTTAATAACTTTTAATGAAGTTGATTAGATATTAGTACTTCTCTCTTGATCAAGTGAGAAAAATTAATTGATGAAATTTGATGAGACCATGACTTAATGCACATGTATTATTTTTGATTTTGATAGGAACTTAATTAAGATGTCAGCCCATATCTTAGTAATTCAAGGAAATTCTAGTTTTATAAGCTTATAATCGTTTTTTTTAAAAAAATGATATTTAATATTAATATATTTTGATTTCTTATAGAATCTAAGATTTTTTGCAAGAACAATGCAAGATTAATTATCATAGTATATAATATTAAAAAAATTGACTCAACAGCCAAATTTAGAGAATAAGATTTAAAGCCAAAGTAGTTTTTTGTTGTTATAGCAACAACAAAGTATTCAACTTTAGCAATTGTAATAGCAATAATAGATTGCTTCTTGTTTTGCCAAGAAAATAAAGCATATTAAATTAAAAAAATGTAGCCAAATGGTGAACTTCTTGTGTCAACATTCTGTATTCAATTTGCATTGTTATATCTATACTATGTTTTAAGTCAAAAGTAGATAAACTTTTATTTTTAAGATTTCAATTGTATATTTGTTGGATGTGACAAAACATATATTAAAATGCAATATCATAAAGACATCCTGGATTGGCTATAAATTATGTAAAGTAGTTTATATAAAAAATTAGTTCAAATTTGGTGCAAGTAAATAAATACTATAAATTATCAAATACTTGAATACAATATATTAATACCATTGCAAAAGCTTCTTCAAGAATAAGATTCTCAACTTGAAAGTGAGAATGCATTGAATTAGGTTTTTATGGAATTATATTAATCTTACATAATATATTAGAGATATATTTTTTTTAAAAGAAAATAAAAGTCTTATTTTTAGAATTAGAAAAATTTTAATTCCTAAAATATAATCAATACAATTTTTATTAGATCATAGAGAATTTTTATGCAATGACAACTTTATATGCCTAGAGATATTATAAGACAACAAAGATTAGGATAATATTGACAATGTAAAGACCAAGGAATAAGAATAAAAATAAAAAATAATTGAGGTGTGCATTAATATTGGATAAGCATTGAAAACCTTGATTGAAGAAGAAATTATCAAAGAAATCATATCATACCTGTAGTGCTTCTTTAAGTCTATATAAGAACTTTTGGACTTTGCACATTTCATATTCATTCTAAGAGAACACAAAATCTTCAGGTTGAGAAATATAAATCTCTTCATAAAAGATGCCATTAAAAAAAAACATTGGTTACATCTATTTTGTAGATATAATACTCATGAAGTAAAATGAAGGCAAATAAATTGTTAAGAGATGTCATTTTAATGATAAGACAATAAGTTTTTGAAGAATATAAATGTACTTGTTATAAGAAGCCTTAGATTGCAAGATAAGCTGTACATTTGTCTCAAGTTCTATAGGAGTTATATTTGAAATATAATAACTATTTAGAATCCATATTTTCTTTTTTTAAGATTAATCAACTAAAATCTAGGTGTTGTTATTAATTAAAAAAATATACATGGTTTTAATGGCTTAACACCATTGAGAGGCTTTTTGGCTAGAGAGAGCTTCAAAATAGAGGTAGAAGTAGTAATTTATATGAATAAAACATCGAAAAAAATATTTTTGCCATAGTATTTGGTTAATTTATATTTTACTTAAGATTTATGCATTGAAAAAGAAATTAATAGCTTTGAATATTTAGACATTGAACTTGTATATTTGAATGTTATATTAAATAGTAAATTCAAATATATTTTTAATGTTATATTAAATAGTAAATTCAAATATATTTTAATGTTGTATTAAATAGTAAATTCAAATATATTTGAATGTTATATTCAATAGTAAATTATTTAAATATATTTGAATATATTCAAATATCATATTGAATGTAATATTGAATATATTCAAATATCATATTGAATGTAATATTGAATATATTCAAATATCATATTGAATATAACATTGAATATATTCAAATATCATATTGAATATAACATTGAATATATTCAAATATCATATTGAATATAACATTGAATATATTCAAATATCATATTGAATATATTTAAATATATTCAAATATCATATTGAATGTAACATATTGAATAACATATTAAAAATATATATGTATAATAATATATTTAATGTTACATTCAATATGATATTTGAATATATTTAAATATATTCAAATACATGTATATATCTTATTCAATTAAACCATTCAATATGATATTTGAATTCAATTAAACCATTCAAATATATACATATATATCTTTTTGAATTCAAACAATCATGATTTGTTAAGATTTTGGTAAAATGGTATTAAAAAGGCACTCATCATAAATAAAGATTATAGTTGCTTTACTGATATTTTAGGCTATTAAAAATAATTTTTTTGGAAAGACAAGATAAACAAAGGACATATTTGAAGAATGAGGATTGATTTGAATTAAGTTTTGGAAGTATTGAGCAAAAACGAAAAACTTTATAATTGTTGTTATTACCAAAATAGAATGGTTTTTGGATCAAGAAGAACTTATTAATCTTAGAACAAAGTTTAGATTAGTAACATATGCTAACTTACATGTGAATCTAAATATTACAATTTTGAGATGGATGGTGTAGAAATTATTGCTGAAAATAGATAAAATGTATCATTAGCTATAAAAGTAGTGACATGCAACTTTTGAGTTCCTTTGTGTTGTATTTTTGTTCTACATTCAAGGACTTCATGGCTTGCTTTCTTGCAATAATGACAAATAATAGGTGAAATAATATGTTGTTTGGACCGGTTGAAAGGTTTATGATTTATTGATGAATTACTTTCATGAAACCTTTGTGTTTTGCTTGATGATGGTTTTGACGAAATTTTCTTTAATGTAAAAAGCACTTGTTTTATTGGAATCAATTTTAGAACTGTTTATGGCATGTTGTTGAAGTTTATTTGAAATGAGTTTTAAAAAGTGAGGTAGACTATGCCACCTTGTGTGATAACAAAGGCACTCCATGAATCTGGTAGTGCCTAGAGAAGTAACATGACTTGTTTATCATCAAATTTACAGCCTATAATAACGGCTGCTTGCAAAATTGATTGACAATTTTCAAAAAAGCCAACAACGTCTTCAATATTGGACACGATCAAATGACTTAATTGGTTGTACAAATTTATATGAGATTCTGTGTTTGAGCGTTGGTAGAGTTGTTTAAGTTTTTTCCATTCTGCTTTTGAGGTAGTAAGGGATTTTAGCAAAACAAACAGGATAAACTGCTTTTCTTGGCAATGGAGAAAAATGTCTAAGCGTGCCTTGGAATCCTTCAATTTCCGGCCAGCCAGACCAGCAACATCGCTATCAACAAGAGCGATTTCTGAACCATCAACCACGCTCCTGAGCTTGGAGCGGACTAATAGCATTTCTACCTTATCCATGAGAGATTACACAGTGGTTTATATAGTATACAGATGTGCTGTTTCATGATTTAAGTGCTATAGCTACTTGTACCAAGTAGGTGTGTCTCGTCTAATGTAATGGTGTGCTGACAAGTTTGATGACTCGATTGTGTTGTGTCGTAACATAGGACTCCAAGTAGAAGATGTAAGACGAAAACCTTCTCTCCTGACACAGGTACTGGTCTTCCAGTTTAACTGAATAAACTTGAAAGCCAGGATTCTTCCATTTCTTCCATCATGTCTGTGTCCATCGAGTTCCTGGCTATCCCGGTTGGGATGGCATTTTCTTCAACAGAGACCAGCTTCAGAAGTTCCATTTCCATCTGTGCAATCTTGAGCCTCCCACTCAAGTTTGTAAATGGTCCACTTGTGCAATCCATCACATCATCGTCCCCTGCAGTAACAGGGACGTGTGCTGTGCTTGTATCATCTGCAAGGAGAAGCTTCCGCAGTGCACCGAATCTGTCAAACTCCTCACCTGCACCATCACACTCTAATTCCATGTACTTCCTTTTCGAGGACCACATTCTCAACGATGATCTACCGCCGCCGCAGTCCTCGTTGAACGAATCGAAACTAGTGAATGATGGAAACAAGTCCTGTGGAGACTTCGGTGGTGTTGTGGAATAGTTTTGAAAACAGAATTCGTTATCTGTCTCAATGGGTGGGATCACACGAATTTGGTATTTTTCATCAACCAACTCCTTGGAGTTGGTTAATCCCCCATGATATGCGGGCGACTCCACCGCATCCATGTCAACCTCTTTGTCTTCTGTGAAAGCCAAGGGAGGGGCAGAGTATTTCAACGTTCGATCAAACAGTGCTCCAGGACGTCCCAGATCTTGTAAAAGCCCATCCACGATCTCCACAGCGGCCGGCGTCATCTTTTTGGCAGAATCGAGCGGCACTAACATTGACTCCATGTCGACGAACTTCGAATCCTCCCGAGACACGCTCGTAGCGGTACTTTCTACCTCTGGGGCACCCAACCCCGAGGGTGTTCGCACCCGCCTAGTGCTGGACTTGTTCGAATGCGATAAATTCCTTTCTAATGGAATTAAGCATTCCGGATTTATCTTGAGGTTGGAAATCATGTTCGAGTATTTCCTAGCTTGGCTTTGAACAAAGTCCTTTGACGGCCTCAAAAAGGGGCGCGTAGGAAGGTATTTCTCGGGGTACAAGTAGTAGTAGGGGTCCTTCCCGATGAGGTGAAGAGATAGGTCATAGGCCCGCATGGCTTTGTCCGGGGAGTCGAACGTCCCAACCCAGATCTTGTCTGATGAGCCAGGCGGCCGTATCTCTACTCTGTAACCCCTCACTCGACCCTTTGGTTCGCGTATGCCGCAAGGCTTAATTTGCCGCTTTACGCCTTTGTATTCGATGGCAAATAGCCTGCATACACAGAACACAAAGTCACTCTTGTAAGTTTTTTCTGAATTTGCAAGCGCCCTTTCCGACCAAGCATTCCCGAGCTCAACACTTCGCTCACACTCACATCGAAATTAGGCATGAGATGGTATGGAGCAATACTTACATGGGTGTCTGGGTTGGTGCCATAGTTAAAAATTGAGTTTCACCCTTAAAAATCGATCGCCTTTCCTGAAAAATTGTAGTGGAAAACAATATCAGTACATTTGACATTGAAGACATTGTTCAAATGAAGCTAGCTACTCGAATGTAATTCATGTCATCCACTATTGCTTCAACAAATTGTGAAAAATCTAATGTGTCTGGCAGCTACAAGAACAAGAATCTGATTGAACTGATCATTCCCGCTGTAGAAAATCCATTCCAAATGCAAAACAGAATGCAACCCAATTGAGACTTCACCTCGCCAAAAATCTCCGCGGATCTCAAACTCCAATTTATGGCTTCAATACACACACACACGCTCTCTCTCACTCTCTCCCCCCACTTTCCAAGTTCAAAACAAAATGCCCCACTCCGTAATCAATCCTAGCTCAACGTGAACTAGACCTTCCTGCTCTTCTACACCAGCACCGCCACGCCCCTCTCGCCTCCACATCCAACCCCCAACATAAACTCGCTCATTCAAAAACGCAATCTTCCCGTATTCCATATACCGACCAGTCACGAAGCGCGACTTCCAACCTAATTATCCTTTCAAACAGCAAGTGAAACCGTCGGGGACGATCCTGTAAGACCCACGAACTATAACAAGTGAAGCGTGAGAGGGGAAGAAGAGGTGACGAAACTGATCGTACAGAAGGCACAAAGGCAGTTCTAAAGGACGAAGGTGCACAGGCAGTCCCCTAAGCAAGAGCTGTGACGACGCTGCAGACAGTTTGACTTCGTGGACCCCACACCCCTCCTCGTAGACAATACTCCCCTCCTTACAGACACTCCCACAAATACTTCCAATTTGGGGAGTCTGTACATGGTGCGGTGCAGATCATCTCTCTCCGTGGGAGAGCCACCCACAGCTTCCCGACCCCACCGCCACCATGCACCACCGCAAACCGCGTTTAAAGGGGCCAGGAGCGTCACTGCCCTCGTGGACTACAGTACACTTCGCAGGATGCTCTCCGATTGGCTGACGTCACCGCCAGGTGTCATTGTCATGGCGGAGATGTCGCCAACAGAAAAGTGTATTTCAACCGACAGCCTGTGGAACTGGTCAAACTTTGTCCACGTAGCTTTCTGGATGAAAAATAAATATTACTCAGTTCTGTGCTCATTCATTCACGAATGCGATCATCCATCCGAGAGAATTCGTTCATTCGTTAGTGTGGATTCTGTCTCAGGGATGATGTGGAATGCTTGCATTTGAAGTAAATTTGGTAGATTCTCACGTCTTGGGTATTGCAATAGATCACAGAAGCAGTGAAAGGCATCATATATATATATATATATATATATATATTCATTGGGCCTTGTTCACTTGTGTACATATATATAAATTGATGTTACAAGCACACCTAATATTGCTATGTGTACATCCAAAATACGTGGAAGGTTGTGATTGGTGGAGTGGTATAATGTGAATCCTACCACTTGACACAAGTGTGGGGGTGTAGAAAGCGATAGCCTTCCTCTACTAGTCTTGCTAACCAGTTAGTGGGTAGGATCAAGGGACGTTGCTTCCCCCAAAAAATTGAATCTATCGGAGTTTTCAACAATGTTATCACGAGTTTCTTCGTATCCGACACACTCAAAATCAATAAACACGACAACAATTTGATCACAATATTTTGGTTCTTGATGACAAGGTTGGCAACATGATCTTTCATCAATGTATTTGGAACAACTTTTAATTTTGTCTTTGAAGATAGCATGGAATTCATCTATTCTAAAATGGAAGTGCTACTACAATCTAGCTTCATAGAAGAAATTGACCACTAAAAAGCTACCATGCTCTCTTGCATAGTTGAGGCACTACTCTTGAATTGAAGTGCTATGCAACATGCTACAATATATGTGATTTTGACTTATAGATGGACCTGCTACAATGTCAAAGTCACAAATTTTAAAGAAAGAAATCCTCAATATACTATTGTGTTATTCAAAAGAACTAAAAAATCACTCAAAGATGGTATAGTATTAAACTATAATGATTATTGCCAAAAATAAAAAAACTAGAAAGTCTTAAAACAAGACTAAAGACTAAAAAAGCATTGACAAGAGTCAAGAAGGCTTCATTCTTGCCTCCATATATACTCTTAACTAGGAATTATGTAGCGATATCATATAGGACCTTCAAAATATGTTGACTTTGGAAGACATGTATCTTAACTTGTAAGGCAAGTATTCTATATGTACACCATATAGTTAGCTTATTTTACAAGCTATTAACATGTGGTTACCTGTTGACTAATTTTCTAACCTATCAATCAACTACAAATACATGTAAAGTAAAACAATGTCTATAAAGCTTCTAAAAAGCTTCTCTAAAAAATATTATAAAATAAATCTACTTTTACTTACTTCTATTTAATCATATAGGTAAATATTAGAGTAAATATATATGTCTATGATATTACCTCTCCTTCTAAAGACGAGTTCTAGTAAGAGCAATCATCATATGTTGAAGAAATCGAAGATGTGGCGAATTGTATTTGTCATATACTCTAATCTTTGTTCTTTTCAAAGATGGTTGATAGGTTCTCTTAGCCATCAATAGTGTTTTATACCAAGGTAAAAAGACAACTCTATTATTTCATTGATGTTAATGCTTTTGTAATTTTCTTCAAATAAAATATTTAGAATACTATCAAGAATTGTTCCAACCTCTAATAAAATCACCAAATATTGGAAATCTCTTCCAAGGTTGTACTATCAAATATGTTGTATTTTGCCATATATTCAAAGAAAGACCTGTTGTTCTTAAGGATCTTCATCTCAATTACACTGTCTTAAAAGTTGTAACAATCACATTATTTTGTTCGATTAATCAACAAGTGGTAGCTCTTGAGTTGAATCTGCTAGTTATTGATTCTCCATCTATTTAACGTCATAAATGTATAAAAGTACTGTTAAAGTAAATGGAGGATAAGATAGAAGGTAAAAGATATTATCTTAGATAAGTTGATAATGGTCAAAGGGTAGCAAAAGGATGAAGGAAAGTTACCAAGGTGGCGGCTAGGATTTTAAGAGGCGACTAGGATTTAAAGTGGCAACTAGGGTTATAGGTGGTGGCTAAGATTATAGGTGGTGGCTAGGATTTAAATTTGTGGCTATATTAAGAAGAATTTAGGGTTCAATTGGATGAAAGTAAGATGAATATTAGCCAAAATGGACATAATCTCTACCTATAAGTAAAAGGTGTTGGAAGTGAGAGGCATCTCATTTCCCACTTCTCTTGTGTCTAACCTTGCTGATTTCTACTTACTTGTATTTTGCTTATTGTGTTTCTTCAATAGCTTATGGGCCTACATATACTTTATTATGCTATTCAAGTAAATTGAAGTCATTTGCTGGTTGTTATTCTTGTGTGGAATAGATCTTATGGTGTTTACTAATATTAGAGATTATATGATCTAATCTGGTATTTTGACTTGTGGAGGTTCTGATTTGGGCCTTATAGATCTCTTATATCAGTTTGAAGGTTCTTAACTCTTAGGATTGAGTGATTAAGACCTTATACAAAGACCTTGATAGTGTCTTTGATTTTGTGGTGAGAAAGTTAGTTTTATGAGTTGAAGAACTAGATAGTGAGGTTGATTGGAGTTCACATACTTGTTAGAAGCTTCAAAAGTTGATTTGAGAGTGTTTGGAGTGAAAAAACATTCATTTATTCACAAGAGGGCATTTTGAGATTTTACTAGTACAAAATTGTTTTAGTGATTTTAAGCACATAGAGACTTTTTTTCTTGATATTTTTTGATAGACCTCTTCTAAGACATGGCTTCAAGTGAGGGTGAAGGTTTGAGAGTGATTGAGAAGTTTAGAGGTGACAATTTCTACCATTGGAAGGTCAAAATGGAGCTTTTGTTGGAATCTTTGGACCTTTGGAACATTGTAGATGAAAGTGAAGAGCCTCCAAGCACGCATGCTGATGCTAAAGAGAGGAAGGACTTCACAAGAAGGCTTTTGGCATGATTGCCACTAATTTGGATGAAGCCAACTTTTTTCACATCATCTCTTGCAAAGGACCAGCAGAAGCATAGAAGACTCTTTGCAACATATATGAGAGCAAGAACTTGTCTAATATCATCTTTACAAGGAGGAAATTCTTCACTTGTAAGATGGAAGAAGGTGAAGACCTCATGGCTCATATCAACAAGGTAAAGGCCCTTGATCATCAACTTGCTATTATTGACAAGCCTTTAGAAGAGAGTGATATTATCATGACCTTGCTTATGAGCCTTCTCGAGTTCTACAACTACCTCATTATGGCATTGGAATCCATCAAAGTAAAAGAACTCGCAATGGATTATGTGACGACAAGACTCGCCCATGAAGTGACCAAGAGAAAAGAAAAAGAGCCCCAAAGTGAAGATTTGGCTCTCTTTTCAAGGCAAGGCAAGGGAAATCATCCTAATCAACATGATAATGTAAGAATTTGCTTCATTTGTAGAAAACTAGGTCACTTTGTTCCAAATTGCTACAAGGCTAAGAAAAGAGATAGAGAAAGTACAAATAATGCTCGTGATGAATATGGAGGTGATGATTATACATTCATGGCAAGTGAAGGCACTTCCATGGCTGCCATGTCCAAGTGGATCATTGATTCCGGTGCCACCAAGCACATGATTCCATACAAGTGTTCATTTGATACTTATGAAGAGATTTCAATAGCAAATATCCTCATGGGAGACAATGGCATAGTATAAGCTATTGGAATGGGCTCTATTGTTATAGAGATTGTTGTGAAAGGCCAAACCAAGAGATCAGATTGAAGAACGTCTTACATGTGCCAAAGATGAAGAAAAACCTCCTCTCGATGAATAAACTTGTTTCACATGGTTGTAAAGTGTAATTTGATTAGAATGGATGTTTTGTAAAGACATTGAAAAGAGATCATTCTTTAAAGGGCTTTAGAGATGGCAACCTCTACTTCATCAAGTGTAAGAAGGTGAATGAAGTTGAAGTGACAACATTTGTTGAATTTCTTCAAGATGAAGACAAGTTTGATATTTGGCATCGATGCCTTAGTCATTTGAATGTCAAGAGTATGAAGGAGCTCCAATCCATGGTAAGTGGCTTAGATCTTGGTCATATAAGCCACAATGCTATGATACTTTCTTTTGAAGGTTGTATTCAAGGCAAACAATAAAGGGCCTCATTTCCAATTGCACTTGCAACATGTGCAACCAAGTTATTAGAGATTGTTCATTCTGATGTTTGTGGACCTTTGAGGATGCGATCAATAGAAGGTACAAGGTATTTTGTCACATTCATTGATGATTTTTCAAAGAAAGTATAGATTTTTATCCTCAAAGCAAAGAGTGAGTATTTCATAAGGTTTAAGGAGTTTAAGGCATTTGTGGAGAAGCAATGTATATGCAAAATCAAGGTATTACATACAGACAATGGAAGTGAGTATATGTCAAAGTAATTCAATGATTTTTTAAAATTACATGGTATTGCAAGACAAACCTCCATTCTTTACACTCCACAATAAAATGGAATTATTGAAAGAGTAAATCGGACCATTGTAGAGATGGCAAGGAGTATGCTTCATGCACAACACCTTGGACATGAATTTTGGGTAGAAGTAGTGGTGAATGCAGTACACACAAAAAATAGGTGTCCTAGAAGTGCACTTACATGAATGATGCC